TTTCAACTCCCAGAATTCCCCAGCCAGCCTGGCTGGGGAATTCTGGGAGTTGAAACCCACACATCTTAAAGTTGCCAAGGTTGAGAAACACTGCCCTTGAAGAACCCATAACTTTCTGTTTATGTCTGGGAGTCGAAGTCCACACATCTTAAAGTTGCCAAGGTTGAGAAAAAGTAATCTAAGCAAAAGAGGGGAGGTCAGAGGCAGTGACAGTGCCAACTCTTGCAGAAAGTCTTGGCAGGCCTGTGAGAATCAGTAGGCAGATTCTTGGCAGGCACTCTGGGAAATGGAGAGGAACCCAGTGGAGGAGGGCAGGTAGTGAGGAAATATGGATGAGCCAACCATGCAAAACCAGAATCCTGTAGTTGCCCAAACAAAGGCCTTGGCCTGACCCAGGTGCTGTTAGAGTTAGCCTCATATTAAGGACAGTAAATGGATTTCCTGGCTGGGCAAAGCCACTTTGATTGGGTTGCACACTTGTGGCCCAGGATTCTCCTACAAAAAGCCAAGGAGATTGCAATGCACAGAGCATGAATGGAATCTAGCAGCAAGGTTGTGGGTGTGCATGAGTGTGGGTGGGGTCTCACTGCCATGGAAAGACACAGAGACCCAGTTAGGGGGCTGCTTGTGCAGTTGTGGTCTTTATGAAGATGAAATGATGCGCTGAGAGCCAGGCATATCTACAGCAGGTGGAGGAGGAGGTACCGGTGGGGCAGGGGGAATGTGGTGGGTATCATAGCGACTGGCTTGGAAAGGCTCTGGGCGCTGTTCCTCTTGGTTCTCAGATGGACTGTGGCGCCAAAGCTTGAAGCTGTCAAAAAAGAAACTGGCGTGAGTAGGCAAATGGCTGCGTGTTAATTTATCCTTTGATGGAACTACCATGTCTTTTCTGGGAGATGAAGGTCAAATGTTTATCCCTGTCCTTTCATTTTCCGCCCTATAACATTGACCCAGTGAGGTAAGATATGCTGAGACTTGCCTAAAGTCATCCAGTGATCTATCCTGAACTTGATTTTGGGTCTCTCCAGTCCTGTGACCACTACACCATACTATCTTGCCAATTGTTGACGGTGGCAGAGGGAATATGATTTAATTCTCACTTGGATTCAGTGATGTCTGCAGAGGTGGGGGGGGGGTCACAAAAGTTAAGTCAGCAGTTCAAATGATTGATCATCAAATCCCTACCCTTTTATGTGTCCAATTGCACTGCCATGGACGCCATCTCTTGACCCCCACTGTGCAGGAGTGACCAAATAATCAAAGTCCCAGATTATGGAGTCCCAACCACCACTTGACTCTTTTGACTCCCCCTGCAGAGAGACACCTGGCCCCATCGATGCCTCTTCCTGCTGCCGGCAGTGCAGAAGCAGGCGTGAACCTTGCAAGGGTCTCCTCCAGCTTGACTGTTAGATTCAGGAGGGAATCCAACCCCACTCCTACCCCCCATTCAGAAAACTTCTTCACTTGGTGTAATGAGCTGTGAGAGCAACCTTGAGGAAGAGGAGGAAGAGCTGCAACTAAGGCACAGGTCAGATAAGAGAAATCTCAGCCCACAGAAGGAATGGAGGTGGAAAAAGCACCTCAGGCTTGACCCTCCCTAGTTCTCTTTAGGATAAAGGCAGGGAGGGGGGAGGCACTTTCAGACTTGCAAAATTCTGTTACTGAAATCCTATAGTAAAAGTAGCTTTACTATTCATGACTTTGGTGTTCAAGACTGGTCTACTTTGATGGGCTGATCCTTGGGCTTCCTGGAAAATTCAAAGTTTTCCATATGTACAGATAAGTCTTTGCCACCATCTGGTGGTCAGCTGGATCTCTGCAACCCAGATATGTTAACCTACCCCACATGAAAGATGTGGAGCAAGGAATGGGCAGGAGGTAGAGCCCACTGGGCTTCCCAGTGCTGGTGGACACCAAGATGGCCTCCTCCCCTGCCTTCACTATATTTATGCCACTGTCTTCAGCATTGATCTCAGCCTTCATCTTCTCTATCATTTTAGGACTCCAGCTCCCCATTTTTCCCTGGGTGCAGATGGGCCCAACTAACATCACCTGTCCTTTGCAGCACTAAGGTTCTAGGTGTGAGCACTTACCATTCATAGCAGACAGTGCTCAGGAAGCCAATAGTGACGACCCCACAGAGAGCAGAGAGAATTACAGTGATGACAATCATGTCTCCACTACGTCTGCCTGGCCAAGTGTCTATTGTTTTCCAAATCAGGGCTGAAGAAACAAGACAAAAGAATAATCATGTATCACTATTCAACAGGTGTTGACCCAGGTGCTGTTTTCCCTGGGGGGGGAAGTAACATCACGTGTCCAGATTATGCAATCTGCATCATTTGTACCTGGCACAAATTAAAGGTAGTCCCTAGTTTAAGAGTTCCACTGTGGAGGACACTCTCCACTGTCCTTAAATCGAATCTGTATGTAAGCCAGAACAGTATTATTGTATAATACTGTACAAGTAGTATTGTGTAATGAACTCGAACCATTGTGTATTTAACTTGAAATTGTGTATTTAATTCAAATTTTGCTACAATAGGCCCCGTTCTTAATTATGGGTCATCCTTAAACCAGGGGTTCTTAATCAGGAGACTACCGGTACATGATTTGTATCATCTGTAGGATGATGCACTTGACGTCATCATGGCTTCTATCTAACCCAGGGTTCCTCAACCTTGGTGACTTGAAGATGTGTGGACTTTAAATCCCCAAAATTCCCCACCAGCCCAAATTGGGGGATCTTGGGGTTGGAGTTCACACATCTTCAAATCAACAAGGGTGGGGGAAC